AATGTAATATTCTGCTTTGGAATAAAAGTTATTTTGACAAAAGTGATCCTGACTGAATTATGTTTGAGGTTGTTCACATATTGGATGCACAATAAAAATGTATCATTGCCCCAAAAGTCTTCTAGGTACAGTATATCTACATACACTCTGAAAAAGTACACAAACAGTGTACTATGTATTGAAAATGACTTTTTTCATGTACTAAAATATGTCCTAAAACAGGTATATAATGGGCCCCGGTGACCATGGTCAAATTAACCAGTAATCAGTTCCAGTGTCAAATTCTGTAATGGGGTTAATGAACTTTGATTGAGTGTGTGTAAGTGTGCACAGACAATGCACAACCAGTACTCCTCCTCCAGTACTTAATTTGTGTTACTTGTGATAATATGATGAAACACAACTCTATCTATGAACATGCAACCTGTGATCACAGCATCAATTAAAATAATCAAATTAGATTTTGATACAATGCAAAGACAGTGCCACACAAGTAGAAAAATATTGCAGGACCTGCGTTAAGTTGATATTGTCAATGAGAGATGTGATATCCCATCAACTGTTACAGTGACACACTTCTGATTATAATGCGATTCATTAGAAATTATTCCAAATTCTCTTTACCTTGGATTCCAGCAGCCTGCAGGAAGAGCGTGGCATGTTGTAAGAGCACGTTCAGACCACTGGCAAAACTTCCTGCCACAAGATCAAGAGTCTCAGAGAAAGCCAGGGAGATGGTCTGGTGGGGTTGGGTGCACAGATATGAAAACTTAATTTAGGGGAACTGGCTAACACAAGGCTGGGATCACTTTACTTTTCCCTTCGGATTATCAGATTACACTGAACCTGAAGGAGGAAGTAACTATTTCTCACCTTCATACTTTCTCTTTACAGTGAAATTACAACAGAGGCTTTAGCCAGGCGTATATATACACTATACACAGTATAATGCTTTATGCTCCAATGCTTATATTGTAACAGTTTATCAAACCTACATGTATTTTTTTACTATTGTGATTTACATGTATTTTGATCAACTACATTAAATTGTTTAGAATATCTGCAGAAAACAATTCATATTTCCATCTTTCACCTCTTTCATGAAGAGCCCCATCTGCTCTGCTCTCGCATCAGCTTCCTCCTTATTGGGCCCAAACAATTGGACCAGTCCGGCACCAACCATACTGATAAACAGCAAAAACAGCAGAACACCAAAGTCTGGTTGTTTAGGATGTACGACCACATTAGGAGCCATAATAATAATAATAATACTTTTTGATGGTCACAAACAACAAGATGATCTTCTCAGTATAAGTGAGAGACTGAATGACAAAGTTCACACAGTAAACAGTGGTTAGGATAAGAGGTGTATGCCAACTGTTGTGTAAACAACTTTTTACACAGTTAGTGACTCATTGACAGGATAAGGGCCAACCGATCTATCAGCAGGCCAATATTGTTAACCCATATTGGCCTATCACAGATATATCAGTGCATATGTTGGCAAATGTACTAATAGGAATTGCAGTGTTATAGCCTGTGTTTTTCTTTATACACTGCACGGATTTATAAGAACAAACAGCCGTTGAACAACAGCTGTTGATTTGTGTAACTCAACTTGTCTCTCCCTGCTACTGTACACCTTTAAGACAATGACAACCTCCTCCAGGGGCAGGAGCTCAGAGAAGTTATTTGTTTGGCATTTGGGTGTGGCCTGGATGTACTGTTTTACAAGTAGCAACATGTTAGTTTCCATTTACCCTGAACTGAAAACCCTTTCTGAATGGATTGGTACAAAATCTGGTACAGGTATCCATGGTTCCCGGAGGATGAATTTTAATCACTTTCATCCCCTGACGTTTATTATTATCCCATTATCAGGTATACATTTTAAATTAGTCCAATATTTATATATTATAACTAAACACCAAATAAAACTAATGGCATTCCCATCAGCCCCAGCTTTACTTTGTGTTTAATGTTAATTAGGAAATGTTAGTACAAAATAAACTAAGATGGTAAACATGCTATCACATGCTCGCATTATCATTGTGATAATACTAGCATGCTGATGTTAGCAGGTGCAAGCATGGCTGTAGACTTGTTATTTTTCTTTGCAATCCTGTTTCAATTCCAGTCAGGTGATGTTTGAAGCAGCTCCAAACATCATTGTTAATCTGTCTGTTAATCCATTACAGGAACGCCCATTATACGTAGATCTGCCAGTTACACTGTGTCTTTGAGCTATTTGACAAGATCATTGATACTAAACTGTTAAAAGTTGTGTACATGTCACTGTTGCTGTGAGTCCTCATTCGTCCAGCCTCAGATACTGTATGTGTGAGTGTTTATGCTTTCGCAGTTTTGCCTGGCTGTGTTGAGTTTCATGTAAACCAAAGGATTTGTTTAAGACTTCAAAATTTTTGGTTTAACTCATTTAAAAAGAAAACAACATTATTATCTCATATGAACCTTTTTGTCGGAGACACTAATTGAAACAGACCCGACATAGATGCTGTCTTTGCATATCAGCCTGGTGTTTCATCAACCTGTCCTCTCCTTTAATCCCACTTCGCCGTCTCTTTTCCTGCCCTATAAAAGATGATTCCCCCCGTGTCCACCCTTTCCCTCTCTTTTCCCCATCAAATGTCTTCCCTCATCTTCTTCACCTCCTCTATTCCATTCTCCTGATTCTGTCCCCTTCTCTCCTCTCCTTGCTCTTTATTCCATTCTGGGCACCGAGTGATAATCTGTCTATTCTCGCTGTCCGCTGAGAGAGCAATTAACCTGATCAAAACTTCCTGGTGCTAAGATCAAACAAATTTCAGCAGCGGTGGGCGGTAGGAGAATGAAGGAGAGAAGAGACACTGGGAAATCAGAGGAGAGGCAGGAAAGGTAGTTTTGAGGTGAAAGGGAGAGAAAGTTGGACAGAACCATATGGTGGGACCTTCGGGTGGCCATCGGTGTGAAAGTGTTTGTTCAAAGAGTTTTTAAATAGCTGAGTGACTCATTTCTCTTCTCCTGCACGCACCTCACACCACTGCTCATCAGACCGCAGCACGCCGGCTGCTGCGATCTCATCTCAGCCCCTCTTGCCTGTGAGGGATTAAACTCTTAATCCGCCAGACTGAGGCTTGCTATTAGTACCGACAGGGCTTCAGCTATCTTGGCGTTTTCTGCTGTGTATGTGTGTGCTGGCTTCTGGTGTATTGCATGGGGGTTTGTGTGAGATGGATGGTGGGCAGCTGCAGGTATACTGTATGGGTGTGTGTGGGAGATTAATAAAAAACAATGAGGCAGAGACACAGAGTGTGTGCTGGGGGGGTGGTGCAGCACATAAACAAGTTAGGCGGTTTAATGTTGGAGGACTCGGGTGTTCCCTGTCTACCACCTGTGCAAAATCCAGACTGAAAAACCTCTCTGTGGGTGTATGAGTGTTCCTTTCTGTCTGTCTGCATGTGTGTGACAAAGCATAAGAAAATGACAGACAGAATTAAAAGGGAATATTGCATTACTGTC